AAAAGGTTGGCTATGAAAGATAGTCATCACTTTGGCCAGGGAGCCTTGGTCCTTTTCTAGGCTCAGTCCTTGTATCTGACTTGCTAGACCCAAAGTTAGGCCATGGGACCCAAATCAGGGGTCACTAACTGTCACCCACCTTCGCTGATCATCCACAGGAAGTGTCTGTCAGACGTTGTTTGGGTCAAATGTTTCTTGCAAGCTACAGTGATCGAATTCTTCTTTTTGGACAATGTCCCTGGCCTTCCGTGGCATGTCCAAACAGACTGGTAGCCTTGCCTGTATGTTAGGTGAAGTGGTATCTCTGTTATCAGTGATCTCAGCCCGAGTCTTCATCTTCCTCATGTTGGCTTCTCTTAGCTAAGTTGGAATCTGAAAACCAGGAAAGAACCAAGTGTCCATTTACCTTGCTTGCATGTTCCCATGAAGTACGGCTGGGCTCTGGCAGTCCCTCCAGCCTTGAATGCCCATTGTTTCTGTGTAGCCCCAGATTTTCTCTTTCATTTGAAAGTCGGTAGAATTCATCCTCTCTCAGGCAGAAATGCCTCCGTAATATCAGCAAGCACATTATCTGATGGGATGAACCAATATTGTAGGAAGAATTCTAGACGGAAACTCAGCTGATTTCTAGGACTTTGAGGGAAAATAAAGTATGAAATCTGCAGACTCGGCTGATAGGGTATTGGGAGAAAGCTCAACCAGATCAGCCAGAGAATTTCCCCCAAGCATTTGGAAGCAGTCCTGTCTAATTCTCCTAAGACTTCAGTGTCCTGAAATACCGTTCATAAAATATTCTGTTGTTGCCCTGAGGATATTAACGTCCTTGTGGTACCTGTGTTCAGTGAGTTGGCGTGTGTGAGGTATGATTTGTTTATTGTGACTTGCTGTCTCTGAATTTCTTACCAGAAAATCAGAACGAGTGTGACGAAGCAGCTGGACAAGAGCCAGTGTCCGCCAGGTAATTCTGAAGATTTCCGGGCTGTTCATGTCCGTGGTGACACCAGAAGACCTCAGATGTGGGAAAAGAGAACGTGCTGAACGTGACTCTTTCATCCTTTCACTCAACAGCCAACTAGGCACCTGAAAAATGTTGTTTCTTTCCATTGTGTCAGTTGTGTGTGTCTGAATTTCTGAATCTCTCAAGTTGAGTGATGGACAGTGATTTGACCACGGTGCACTAGCCAGACTTGGGGGTCCCTGTAGTCAGCTGTTCTACCCTCCGTGCATAAAAGCAGGGTGAAGATGCACATCTGCTTTTGCCTGTTTGCTGTCGGTATGGTGATGAGTATTTGACGGCAAGTGAAGAAAACAAACAAAAAACATCAAAATCAAAATTATATCAAAATATTGAGATAATACTCCTTGAAGTTAGAAGTTACATGTCTGTAATTCCTCCAAAAGCTGTATTTGCTTGGGCACTGTCTGTATTGTTTAACACAAAGTATGCATAATGTGGGAGCCAAGATTTTAGTCGTCTGTGTTTGCTGGCCGTCATGCCTGGAGCACACAGGGAGAGTCCAAGTGCCCCTTGAACTGCTGGTTGCATGGTCAGTGCTCAGAGCACCGGCTGCTCTCTCCCTCTCCCACCCCACGGTGGCCACACTGTGCATGACACATAGGAGAATAGTTATTTCCCTCTTTAAGGGGACTGCCCCCTGGCTTTTTGTGAACCGTATCTCTGCTTTACATCAATATGCTGACTCTGTCTCTAATCGTCTGAGTTTAATTTTCTGTCATCCCTTTCCCACCTGGCACAGCATGGATCTACTGGAGGTTCAGAATGACGACGTGCTCCAGGAGTCCCAGGATGAATGTGTTTTGGTGCCTTCCATTCACCAGGAAGGTTCTGACTGCTATGAGAAGTACAGTGATGGAAAATTTGCATTTCCTGAAGAGAAAGTGATATGTGCTCTGGAGGTAGCCTGTGGTTCCTCGCATGTTAAAGCAGATGAAATTGGAGCTGACTTCCCAGGTAGTCTGCATGATCTTTGCTCCGCACAATCTGTCTTGTCTCGGAGAATTCCCTTTCATGTGTAGACTATATGCATAAATATTGTTTTGAATCAGGCCCAACAATTCCCTTTATTTAATTACTTATTTACTTATTTATTTGCAGTATAGTCAGTTTACCATGTGTCAATTTTTGGGTTGCAGCATAATATTTCAGTCCTACATCTATATACGTATATTCCCTTTTACATTCTTTTCCATTGTCGGTTACTACAAGATACTGAACGTAGTTCCCAGTCCTATATAGAAGAAATTTGTTGTTTTTCTTTTATATACATAATAGTTAATATTTGCACATCTCAAATTCCCAATTTATCCCTTCCCAACCCCTTTGTCTCCAAAAACCATAATTTCTTTCCTATGTCTGTGAGTTTCTCTCTGTTTTGTAGATAACTTCACTAGTGTCTTCTTTCTTTTTTAGATCCCACACGTGCGTGATATCATGTGTTCCTTTTCTTTCTCTTTCTGGCTTGCTTCACTTAGAATGACCATCTCCAGATTCATCCTTGTTGCTGCAATTGGCCCTGATTTTATTCTTTTGTATGGCTCAGTAGTATTCCATTGTATAAATGTACCAGTTTCTTTATCCAGCCACCTGTGGATGGACATTAAGGTTGTTTCCATGTCTTGGCTACTGTATACAGCACTGCTATTAACATCAGGGTGCGTGTGTCTTTTCAAATTAGACTTCCCTCTGGATGTATGCCCAGGAGTGAGATTCCTGGATCATATGGTAAGTCTCTTTTTTGTTTTTTGAGGAATATCCATACTGTTGTCTGTAATGTCTGCACCAACTACATGCCCAGCAATAGTGTAGAAGGGTTCCCATTACTCCACACCCTTTCCAGCATTTAGGGTTTATGAACTTTTAATAAAGTCCATTCTGACTGATGTGAGGTGATACCTCATTGTAATTATGAATTGCATTCCTCTGGTAGTTAGCAGTATTCAGCATTTTTTCATGTACCTATTGGCCATTTGTGTGCCTTCCGTGAAGAATTCCTTTTTAGGTCATGTGGCCATGTTTGGTTTTTTCTTGTTGTTTGATATTAAGCTGTATATGCTGTTTATATAGTCTGGAAATAAACCTTTGGCAACTGTATCATGTGCAAATATTTTCTCCCATTCTGTAAGTTGTTGTTTTGTTTTGCTGATGGTTCCCTTTGCTGTGTAAAAAGCTTTTAAGTTTAATTACATCTCATTTGTTAATTTTTGCTTTTATTTCTATTGCCTGAGTAGACTGCCCCAGGAGAACATTGCTAAGATTTATGTCAAAAATGTTTCAGCTATGTTTTCTTCTCGGAGGTTTATCGTGTCTTGTCATATATCTAAGTGATTAAGCCATTGTGAGTTTATTTTTGTTTATAGTGTGATGGAGTGTCGTCACTTCATTGCTGTATGTGTGGCTGTCCAGTTTCCCCAACACCACTTGCTGAAGAGCCTGTCTTTTCTCCATTGTATGTTCTTGCCTTCTTTGTTGAAGATGAAGTGACTGTAATTCTGTGGGTTTACTTCTGGGCTCTCCATTCTGTTCCATACAATTACCTTTAAAGTAACACATTCCCTGAGTTCGTAAAGTTAGCTCAATTCCTAGTCATGTCTGTTGCACTGGCAAATCACTGGACCCATCACGGTCCTGCCAGACTCCCATATAGCTCTCCAATTGTGTCATAGGAAGTAACTTTCCGGTCTCCTAATTTTGAATGAATCTCTTATCTTGCATTTAATGCTCTAATTTTCATTCCTAAGCAATGTGCCTGAGATTCTATACCTGTCTGAGGCTTTTGACAGTTTAGTTTATGTCTTTGGAGATGTCACTCCTTTGGTTGTTTCTGTCAACCCAAGTCTGCCTCCTTCCTTTTGTCTTACCTTATCCAGAGGCTTCTGAAACCAGAACAGAAGCACCACTGGCATCTTTGGTGTGTTTCTCTGAAGCAAGGCAGGGTCCTGGAACACCCAGCCTTATGAATGCCCACTCTTTGTTGGTGGCACTGAAGAGTGTTTAGACTATGTTTAGATTCTGCTCATCAGTCTAATGTCAATGGAGAATGCATCTACCCTAATAAGAGACAGCATTTCAGATTGAAAAATCCTGAATATTTGAGCAGCTTTCTAGGAGGTAGCTCGGCAGTCCCTCGGAATCTGTGGGTAAAAGGATGAGGTTACTGTTTGCCTAGACTCAGGACATAGTGTGCGGACATCCTGTCATATTATGAAGACATGTCTAGGGTCTCAAGAAGCAAATCCAGTGCCTTCTTGTGAGGTTCTATCTACGGCCTCCTGGAAGATTTCTCCCACAGTACCCTGTTATCACATTGCACACATTGCCAAAGTGCTGATTTTGGCATGGTTTTGCTCATACGTAAATGAGTTTTGCCCAGTGTGACTGTCCTCTTAATTCATTTACAGAAAACCAAAATGATCAAGATGGGTTGAAAGGAGCAGAGCCAGTTATCTGCAGGTAATTTTGAATATTTGTGCACTGTTGATGAAATGTGACTTCTGCAGTCCCCTAATCCAGGAAACAGCAGGAATGCAAGCGTATGATCCACTTTGCCAACCAGGAGTATCTTTTTGTGATGTTTTCTGCTTACATTTTGATACATATATTGTTTCCTATTTCTCATTAACTTCTCAAGTGTACACCCAATTCAGTTGACCAGGTGATCTATGATACAGTGATTTCTGTGCACTCATTTGTTCTCTCTGGTGTCATTTACAGAGTGAGATGCAAATCTGCTTTCGGCCTGTTTTGTCTTAGCATGTTGACATGTGTTTCATAGCAAGAAGTGGACACAAACAGTGATATAATAATATCATGCCACCATAAAGAGAGAAAGAGGCCTTAGCGGCATGAGATCTCTGGGACACTAGGGTGCCCCCAGTAGTATACACTTAATCTCCATGTAGCAGTCAGTGCACCTTAAATGAAAGGGTGAAAACCACTCTTACATGAGTCTATGTTATGGGTCATGACTGCAGTATAGAGATAATCAGTCTCTTTCTTCATCAGCTGTTATTTGGCCAGAGCACTGAGCACCCCCTCTCCTTTCTGTCTCCTGCTCCTCAAAAACACACACTCTGTCTCACCAAAAATGTCAGTTTTTTCTGCTTAAAGGATCACCCTTTGGCTTCCTTCACTGCTCCCTTAAACAGTTCATCTAAAGCAGATAGGACTCTAGATTTCTGATTGGTATTAGGTTAATCTTCGGTCTCCCTACCCGCCAGGCTCAGCACAGAGCTGCCGCAGATGGTAGAGGATGACATCCCACGGCACTCAGTGGAGGAGTACTATTTGACTTACTTAGCTCTTCCTGACCTGTCAGACTCCTTCTGGCCTTATAGGAGCGCCGCCATCTACTCATTTGAGGGATTGGAACTCTCTTATGCTCGGGATGTAACCAGTGAGTACTCTCTTATCGATGTGATAAACCTCCAACTGCACTGCCAGGTAGAGCTGGTGTCTTTTGCGCTTCACACCTCTGGCGGTGCCGAGCTATGGCGTCCCTGTGGGCAGACCCTATACATTTATATTGAGAAGGTTTAGGTTCTAGAATTCAGTTTTAAGCACAGACATCATGCGGGCCAGGGAACTGTGCTCTCTATCCCAGGTCAAGCCTATGTGTTGGGTCCCAAGATAGGTCACTGAACCGAAGGCAAGTGTGACAATGTCACTCACCTCTGTGCAGTTGTACAGAGGTGTCTTTTTTCATGATTCCCATCAAATGTCTTTTCTACTTATAAGGTTCTCATGTTCATACCCCTAAAATATCCCTGGAATTTCTTTCCTTCAAAAGATGTTGACAGTGTTAACTACACCTCTGGATTTGTTGTTTCCCTGGGGTCACTGCTGTCATCCCCAGTGTCCGTCTCCTCTAAGTGGAGGAGCCACCTGAACACCAGGACACAAACATCCCTACTATCACCTTGCATGTATCTTTCCATGAAGTGCGGCTGACCCCAGCATTCCCCCACTCCATGAAGGGCTGATGGTTCTGTTTAGCACAAAGCTCATTTTCATGCTAGGGTTTGTAGATTCCAACCATTATTTTGTTTTCAGAGTATAAATTCTGCTAAACCAGCCAGCATACGGTGAGGGAAGGCTGAATATTACAGTATTCTTTTTAGAATGCAGATGGGCTATTCCACAGACTACGTGGGGAAAAGATACATTTCACTCCTGACTCGGACCTGGAAAAGGTGATTGTGGTGAGGAGATACTGCCCAGGGGTCAAGAAAGCAAACCCAGGCAGGTCCAGAAGACGCAACGTGAGGTCTCCAGGGAATATTATTCTTACAGTATCCTCCTGTGCCACTGGTGATACTTTTTTCCCCGGGATAGTATTGGATACCTAACTATTGACATATGTAGGGGGATCTGCTTAATGTTTCTTGCCCTGTCTGAATTGATCCATAGAAAATCATCCTGTTGTTGAGGAAGAAGAGGAACAAGACCATATATATTCCAGGTAATTCTGAAGACTCAGGGGTCTTTTGTTTTCTTTCTGCTATCTATCTGTCTGTCTATCTATCTATCATCTCTTTATTTATGTATTTCAAAGTATAGTCAGTTTACAATGTTGTGTCGATTTCTGGTCTACAGCATAATGAAGAATCATGGCTCTTAATTTAATGTTGATGTATGGTGAGGTCAGATCCAGGGAAATGAGAAACTGCTGAATATGCCTAATTCTTCCATTCAGACAACCACAGTGTGTCCCTTTAACAATGCTGTCTATGTTAACTGTACGTTTATAAGCCCCTTTGATAATCTC